AGCATCAACAACTTTACGTGCGCTAGTTTCTCGACTGGCCGTTTTTTATGTCTAACAAGTCCACTCCCAGATTCGATTTGATAGGCTTGATTGCTTTCGCACATGAATTCAAATCACTAGATGGAGAGCCCTCCCCGGTCTCGTCGGCACTGAGTGCCTTGGGTCACGCCAAACCGTCTCCTGCAGCAATGAAGATCCTCCTTGCCGCCCAAGCCTTTCCATCACTGCTGAAGTTGCCTCTCCCTCGGAGCATTCTGGTTAACAATCTTTCTGACGCTATGGATGCCGTTGTCGAAGGAATGGTGCAAAAATCCGGCACTGATGGACCAAACAAGTCTGTTCTGGGTGTGCTATGTGAGTCCCGCGCCGCCAGTTATCGTCTAGATCTTTTTCTCAATGTATCCAGTAACAAGCGGACAGTTTTCTCCTGCTCAGATTCAAGTTCACGTGCGAACTGCAGTTTTCTGTGCGCCACCAGATGCTGATAAACTTGCATTCTATATAGGCCAAATCCTTCCTCCTGGCTGGATTTGCAACAACTTCGAGTGAGTATCTCTCTGACAGCCGGCAGCTGCAGCATTATCTAACATCCCCTAGGTTCAATAAAAGTGAGATTTTCGTGACGAAATTCAGTGACTAACGTCGGAAAACACCAGTGGGCCCTCGTCGAACTTTCCATGCATCCGGAGAAGCAAGACCGCCTTCGCACCGAGCTTTCTGTCTTCAGGGACCAAGACCCCTCCTATGATGCGCTCGCCACTGGATTTGCTTACCTGGATGCTGTTCTACGCGAAACATTACGACTTCACCCGGTCTTGAGTGACTCGACTCGTGTGGCTCTCGAGGACGACGTGATTCCGCTCTCTCGGCCTGTTCAGACAGCGTCGGGCGCCTACGTCGATAAACTGCCCATCGCCAAGGGAACCCATATCACGACCTCGTTTTTCTTCACGAGCCTCTCCAAATCCGTGTGGGGCGCCGATGCATCTGAGTTCAAGCCTGAGAGATGGCTCGATGATTCGATTCCCGCTTCAGCCAAAGAATTTCCCGGTTACTCTCACACAATGGCTTTTCTCGACGGGCCCCGGGTAAAATTTGCCCGTCCATGTTCACTAGCGAGGCTCTCATAAGCTTTGCAGACGTGTCTCGGAAAGGGCCTTGCGCTGCTTGAGCTGAGGGTATGTGACGTCTCCTCGCAAACGCTGACTTTCACTGATCCCACCAGATGCTGCTGTCGTTGCTCGTCAGCCGATACAGCTTTTCTCCCAAGCACGGTCCGCAGACCAAGTTCGAACGCGCTTTCTATCTTGGGCCGCATCCAAAGGTGGCGGGAGAACCGGGTGCAGAGCTGCCCATCCGTGTGAAACCAGTTGTTTGAAGTTCGCTGCGTACATATTTCTGAATGACACTATGTATGTAATGCAGGTCCGCACATGATGACGATGAGGCCATCTTGCCGCCTGACACATCTTATAACGAGTACGTACGTGCCTCTCGATGCTCCGTCATGTCAGCGCATGATGCATTTCGACAAGGGCGCCGATACCGTTGCGGTGACCGGGGGCTGATTCACATGCAGCGGGAGAAGAGAATGGAGACTCAGACAGTGGTAACACATCTGCCAGAAACGTGGAAGGAGAAACGGGACGGAGACTGTAAGCACAGGAACTAGACTGTGCGAAGACCGTGAATGTGACTGATGGAAGATGTACTCCCGGGCTCTACCCTGCTCTACCGTTTCCAAGGTCCCCATTTCTGTCTTTTTGTCCTCACCAGGACTTCGCGTTGTGATTGATGAAACCAGTGTCCGAATCAGGCGCATAGCCTTGAAGACATGACCGCGGATATGCTGGCTGCGGGGTCGACTCAGCGCCGCCTGTGTGCCGGTAGGAGAGAAGCACTAGTGGAGGAAGGAAGTATGTTCTCAGGCTTGAGTCTCTCATCAAACACGGCGACTATCGAGCCTTCATGATCAGCCGTCCAAACGCGCACCCTCCTGCCCTTACCTCCTCCTCCTTCAAACAGAGATGGCGACCTCCCAGAAGAAAAACGACGACAAGCAGAGCGGTCAGCCTATTGACGACAGCGGCTCACACTGCTCGCACTCATGACATTGGACTTTGCAGTGGTCGTGGTCGGGGGTGGCTCAGCCGGCGTTAACATCGCTCGCGCGCTCTCGGCCAAGCTAGACAGCAGCAAGTTTGAACTTGTTCTTATCAACCCCCGGCCGTACCGCATCATACTCCCCGCGGCCTTGCGCATGGTGGTCTCCGACGTTGACAATCTGGACACCACTGCCCTCGTCCCGTACGACAAACTGTTTCTCAAGAACAACGGCACATTTCTGCAGGATGAAGTGGAGCTCATTCAACAGGAGCGTGCTGGGTCTGGGGGCATGCTGGTCTGCAAAAGCGGGAACAGAGTTCCGTACGACGTCCTCGTACTTGCCACCGGGATGAACTGGACTGATCCGATCGCCTTCCCGGATACTGCTGCTGATGTCAGAGCGTACATCGACGCAGCCCGCGCCAAATTCTCGACGGCGAACAGCTATCTTATCGTCGGGGGTGGTGCCGTCGGATGCGGTTTGTTATCTCTTCTCCTCGTCCGTTGCAACTGCCGATGATGTGCAACAGAGCTTGCTGGTGAATTGAAGGACGCATGGCCGGTAAGCGACCCTCTCGCGAGCTGTTGGCATGTCCTCAAGCTAGTGCAGACCAAAGATGTGGCTCTTGTTCACAGTCAGCGATTGCTTCTCAACGACACGTACCCGGACAAATATCGCGAGCGGGTGGCTCGCGAGCTGGAAGCGCGAGCAGTCAAGATCCATCTCGGCGACGTCGTCCCAGTGACTGCCAACTCAGAATCTGATAAGGTTGTGTCAGACAACAGCCAAACCTTCCAAGTTGACATGGTCGTGAGTCCCGGAATGGCTGTCGTATTCTCAAACTCAAATCCTCCAAGATCAGAACAGCTGGGGCCGCGCACCCAAACACCGGCTTCATCAACAGTCTGGGCGGTGATGTTCTCACTTCACGCGGATTTGTCAAAGTTCGACCGACACTGCAAACTGTCGATTTCCCCAACATATTCGCGGCGGGCGACATCATCGAATGGAAAGAAGAGAAACAAGCGGTCAAATGCATGGCCCAGGCTCCGGTCGTCGCCAACAATGTCCTGAGCTACCTGCAAGGAATGCCCCTCAAGAAAACCTATTCGACCTCGTTCGAAGGTGTCGTGCTGACCAATGGCAAGGTGCGTCTCTCCGTCCGGTACCTGGCATATAGATCGATATCACTCACGCGTCATGGTCTAGTTCGGAGGCGTCAGCTACTTCGATGTGCTGTGGGGAATCACGATCGGTTCCTGGCTGACGAGCCTCTTGAAATCCAAGTCTCTCCTCGTACCTCTGTTGCGCAAAGAATCAGGAATGTAGAAAGCGATGCGAGAATATGCAGCACTAGTAACAGCGACGTATTACATGATGTGGTTCCGAGTCCCAACAAGTTAGTATACCCTGACCCTGCAATCTTCATGGATTTTTGAGCAGATACAACTCGTACTGCTTTGGCGTGAATGTTTTCTTCCAACGAAAGGATTAGGATGAGCGCGTCATCATCGGCAAAGAACCAGACCTGGGAAAACGCGTGCATCTGGGCTATCTCCTCCTTCAACAGCTGGTTGACTAGATCTCATTTTAGTGGACTCGGTATTGAGCACGCGCCACACGCACTCCAACGGTGCCTGACGAGCGTAGACTTCCCCTCAAAGTCTTCACTGACGAGTAGGATGGCGTAGTTTTCCCCGCATCCGCTCGATTGGTCCTCGATCTCGATGTGCGTGCAGTTCAAGTGTCTGCGGATCGCAGCCTCCAAATTGACTGTGTCTATCGGCATACTGGCAATCGATGAGTTGAAAACCACAACGGGGACTGCGGACGGACGGGGAGAGGGAAGGAGTGAACCAATCTGATAAGATGCCATGGACCATGACAAAGCGTGTGGCTATGCTCGGCCATCATCTATGATGTATTGATTGCTGCCCCCACCTGAACACGACTCCAATGCCCGTTTCCCGACATGTACGCGATTTATCTGCATTAGACCGCAGAATATTTACGGAAGCGCAAGACTAAGCGTATCAAGAAAGACACGTCCTCCAACGTGGAGGACGACGCTTGGGAGGACGTCGATGAGGAACAGGAGATGCAATCGCTCGACGCGAGGCAGGAGATGGAGCTTTTCGATGAGGACGATATCTTTCTTACATCGCAGACGCAGGGGATACCCATTAACTATTCCCGAACTCCCACACCACGCAAGCGCCGGCATAAGAAAGAATTCGTCGCTTCCCCAGGCCCCCCGAGGAAAACATGCACGCCTCCAGTACAGAGTCCATCCCTGACTCCGACCCCCAGCTTGACCCCCCTCGTTACCAAGAAAGATGTACTCGACGGAGGGGCGTTTGTAGGCTGGTACTTCCTCGATGTGTTCAGGCGGGCGATTATGCTTCTCCGGATCCCTTTGTCTGCACTGCTTTTCCTATGGATGCTGGCATTCCTGATCGGGCTCATGTCGCATAGCATACGAGCTGCGTTTCGTCCTTTGTGCTTCATCCCAGGGCTTGGTAGCTCCTCCCTGTGTAGGCCCCACGGAGCTGCACCGACTCAGAGCGCACCTAGATGGGCCGACTTTCCGTCGCTGGTCGACATGCAAAGTGCCACGGTTGACCAGCTACTTGACGAAACCAGCTCGGGGTCGGCACTGGCCCTGCAAATCAAGAAGGCGGAGATGGCGACGACGGATCTCGTCACCCTTGTGGGCGTCAGCGAGCTCCGGAGTCGCGATATACTGAGTGATGCCCTGCGAACCTTCGTCGACGATGCGCGAACGACCGGAAGGTCCTTGAATAAACTTAGCTCCAAGGTATCTGGAGCAGTCGACGGGTCAGTGGGCCAATCTCAGATGTGAACTTTGGTTTCCAACCTCACGGCGTCTGCAGCATCATGGCGGTCAATGACTACGCGCTTCTAACTATTGAAGGAGCACATCAGAAACCGGCTCCCCCAATCTGGGGATCACTCATTCCTTGGAAGTCTTCGACATCCAAGACAGCCATCATCTTGGATGCATTCGAAGATTCGATGAACTACCTCTCGTTTACCTTGCAGCGGCTAGTCGTCGAGTTTGAATTGAGCATGCGCAATCTGGACAATCTAGAGGAGAAGCTGTCTGTGCTGCACGAGATGGTCACGCGAGAGGACGTGTCTCTGTCGAGCGCGAAATCCGAGCTGCTCAGCGAGCTATGGACTATTCTAGGCGGGAACCGTCGGAAGCTGCGGGGCTACGAGAATCATCTGGGTTTGCTGAAAGGTCTGGGCCAGTATCGCAAGCAGGCGCTGATGCACGTGGTCTCTGCCTTGCAGGCTTTGACCCAGATGAGCGAGGACATCGAGAACTTGCGCGAGAGAGTAGCCGCCCCGGAGCTGACGGGGTCGCGAATCCCTGTCGAAGTGCACATCAAGAGCATCCAGAGTGGACTGGAGCGGATCAAAGAGGGTAGGGCCAAAGCTAAGGAGAAGGAGACCGATGCTGTGAGACGGATCTTGGGATCGGACGCAGCATGATTTGTTGTATAGTCTCTCTGTTGTATGTATGTATGTTGTAAATCGCGTGTAACTAGATCACATATGGAACTAGATCACATACGGATTTGCGTTGGGCACCGACTCGAAATGAGTCCGGGGCTTGCAGTTTTTGGCACTGAGCAGACAACTAGCAACGGCCTGGCCGGCATCCAGTCCCTCGAAATAGGCTCCGTGCAGGAAACCAAAGTACTTCTGACTCATCGCCTCTCCCGCAAACCAGAGGCGGTCGCTGACGGTCGCCCTGAGGTTCGTGTGGTGTCTGCTGACGAAGCTGGAGGGCCAGTTCGAGTAGCTGCCGCGATACAGCGGATCGGCATTCCACCGCGGGAACATGAAAGCGATCGGGTCGGGGATGGTGATGTTGGGGAACATCGTGCGCAGGACAGCCATCGACTCGGCTTGGACCTGCTTGTCCGACAGCGCCTCCACGCGCTTCGAGTAGTCGCCCGTGACCGTGACGAAGATGATGCCCGAGCCCGGCAGAAAGCCGGGCAGATCGAGCCCTTGCCAGACAGGATACTTCCCCCGTTCGGTGTCGGCATACAAGGCAAACTGGCTGTCGAACCAGAACTTTTTCTCGAATTGCAGGAAGATCTTGGTGTACGTGGCCTGCCCGGTGGATGTTAGAATGACCTCTTTCGCATGACAGTGAAAGGACGTACCATGGTCATACTCTGGATGGCCTCCTCCTTCCATTCAGGCAAGGCAGGCTCGAAGACCACATCTTCATTCTGGAGAACCCCGACACTAAAGGTCGAGATGGCATACTCAGCGGTGATCCTGGTGCCGTTGGCGAGCGTGACCGCCACACCATCCTTCGAGTAGGTCACAGCGCGTACAGTAGTATTGAGCCGGACTTGTTCGGGCTTCAGAAATGATTGTGCCTCCCCTTGGATGAGGTGTTTGAAGCCGCGCTGGTCGATGGCCAACTCGTTGTCTGCCGAGAAGCCGCCTTGATCGACATCAAACGTAAAGTTGTTGGCCTGCGTTGATAAGATAGGACAGCGGGGCCGAGAGATAAGATAAGACACCCACCCAAGATGATGCGATCCACGACGTTTGTTCAGGCGTTTGCGCGTATTCCCAGTCCTGAGGTAGTGTCAAGCGAGGCCAGTAGCAGACATGCGAAGATCATACAAACTGAGATCACACGTCAACGCCGTTGACAACGAACAAACAGATTCTTCTTACCACGTAGTACTCTGTGACCATCTCTGCCGGTGTCTTCGGGCGTGCGCCGACCAGAGAATATCCCGTGCGACAGGTCGCGTCGACCTGCTTGGTGGGAACGCGCGCTCCGCCGACGACAGTCAAGTTGGTATATGCGTCGAGGGCAGTGTTCAGCACATCAAGGTAGTCCGCCGAGCCATGCTCGTCGTAAGTCACTGCGATTTCTGTCAGCGGCAAAACAGCCAATCACGGTTCACGCAGGCGGATACTTACCGATGGACGTGTAAAAGTCGCTCGGGGCGGTCTTGACGCCGTACTTATTGGCCAACGTCAGGATCGGATTTGCGGGGCCCGTTCCCGTTTGGGTGCCCTGGATCCAGTTCGCACCCAGCTCTACCGTCACGGCCTTGCCCGGTGCCCCAAAGCTCCTGCTGCGCATCCGCCCGCCGAGCTCGTCGCGCGCCTCGACGATGACAAAGTCATCGATGCCCTGTTCATGCAGGGTCCGTGCAGCAATCACGCCGGACACTCCGCCGCCGAGGATGAGGACCTTGGTGTCCGCTTTCTGACGGGCCGCGTTGACCGTGGCGGAAAGGAGGAGGGAGAGAAAGAAAGCACGGGCCATCTTGGAAAACGTGCGATCCATCGTATCTCATTTTATAGCATATGAATGTACGTAACCGCAGAAGACACGGACAATCTCAGGGCATCGGTCAAGAAACCCGGAAGCGTGTCAAGCTCTCGACGATTCCCACGGCCGCTCCGACCGCCAACTGTCCTAACTTCTTCATGTCACGAACAGGATCGCCATGTCGAGAGTTATAGACCGACACGGCGACCGCCACACCAACAACCAAGCCCGCTCCGACCAGCAATGTGACAGGAACCTGCCTGCTCTGTGGCCGGTGCCGAGTGGGCTTGGGTTCGGGCTCTGGAAGTTCTTCAGGATACACGATCAAGTCTGTTCGCTCGACCATGGCTTCGGCCGCATCCGGAGAGGGCATATCGCTTGCATCCGTCGACCAAGTGAAAACGACGCTCTGTGGCCCCATTATCGATGACAGCTGGATGGCGGGGGAGTGAGGAGGGTGGCGGAGATAGAGATCGTCCGAGAGAGCCAGCAGCTCTGTGAGCTGCACCGTCAAGAGATTACGCGAGGGCTCTTCCATCTCTTCTGATTTAATATCTTCGTTTGATGGATGCTCTTTCAGAACAGGGTCCCCGGTAGCGTGAGAGTCATCCTCCATGGCTGGCTCTTCGATTTCCGGAATTGAAGTCTTATCTTCCAATTGGTCGAAGCTAGTCTCAGGCATTGAATTACTGAGTGCGTCGTCGGCTAGGCTTGGTAGCGCAGAAAGCAGCGAGTGGATCATCCCCTCTTCGCCTTCTTCTTCGAGGCGCTCAACCTCTTGCTTCCTCGAAAGAATGATCTGTGGGCAACGAATGAGATCGGCGGACTAGAGCATGATGTGGCGTGCAAGGACATACTGCACATGCAAGATAGACCACATAGATGGGAGGCCGAGTTAGAAGATAGTCAAAGACGTGTTGTATGAGCGGTAGAGTCGGCATATCATGAGAAAAGAGCGTCAAGAGATTGGGCAGGGCGTAATACGGGAGTGGCGCCGTCCTAAACCCAAATCAGCAGCCGGCCTGGCAACATACAATACAACGTGCTGTTCAAGGAGCGCCGCATAGTCAGGATCCGTAGCTCTGAGAACATTCCTGGTAACCCTGTGTGACCGAAGTTTGTATCATGGCTCTCCTGACGGTCCGGAGCTTACCGCAAAAGACCCAGCACTGGCTCTAGAGTCGATCCCATCGAGTCTCTTACACGTTGCAGACTGAGTTGCTCTGCGCACGCTAGCTGGAGCTCCTTCGGCAGTGTCAACAAGAGCACGGTGATGATGTCGTGGTATCCCTGCGCTACCACGTTAGACATGGCATTGTCACTGACTTTCCTTCCACTCACCTGGAAGTAGTGAAGCTTTGGGCGTCGCCGGAACATTTCAACGAGGAGAGCGTTCAATTCGGATTGGAGGGTCTCCTTATCCAGTTCGGACTCTGCAGAGCCGGATGAATAGTAGTTTCGCGTGTCTTCTTGTTCCGTTCACCTACTGGATATAACACGAAGCTGCGGTCCGTATCCAGCTGGATCTGCCGCTCGTCGGGGTGAGGCTTTTCCTCGTGGACTTCTTCAACTCCCATGGCTTGTTCCTTCGTCTTTAATGCCACGGCATGGAGAAGCTTCGGCCTAAGCGCAGGGTCGTGAGGTGGGTTCCATGGACGTGGATGTGCGCACCATATTTCGGCCCTGTCAATACCAAAACCTCCCCGAGAAAGACTGCGGGTCCTCCATTCGTTCCACTCCGTTGTGTCGAGGAGCGGTTTCTCCTCCATCCGAATCTGAGAACAAATGGGCCGTGGGATAATTGTCTTGACTGGCATAGCCACTGATGCCTCCGCTTATCATTATTGACACCAAGCGTCGTCCTCCAACGTTTAACGTCCGACACTGATGCTTTTGAAGAACGATCAGGATCACGTCTACGCGGCACTCGACAAAGCGTGTCGTTTCTATCCTGCGATAGGTGATATGTGATCTCGGGAACCGCCGACGTCGTCTTGATACATCCGCACAACAGACAACCACGCTCATCCACTCCTCACGGAAGCCAATCGTGATCACTTTCCATTCGAGGGCGTGATCTCTGAGGCCGAAGGTTTTTTGTGGTACTCAATTACAGAAAATTCTGCTCAATGGTTCCCCCAAAAGGCTCTGCGCTCACCGGCCATTCTATCTCCACACTCGCCTGCCGACGCGCCATTCTCCAGCTCGGCGACGCGCTCAAGCTGGAGAACCCCACCTGGGACTCGATAAAAGCCGCCCGCAGCAAGATGACCTACTCCGACTGCTGCGACATGTTTATGCGCGCCTCTATCACGGGGACACAGTGAGTGCATGCGTCGCAAGAACCACGTCGCTTTCGTCGACCTGTGCAGATGTCTGCTCCTCGATGATGGGCTTGGAGGCGTCGAAGAGTATGCTGAGGACTTTCGCTGGCATGATCGCTACACTACAAGTCCCACCAAGCGCATCGTGCGCGTCGAAGTCGTCGCCGAGGTCATTTGCCTCGATTGCCGTGTTTGCTTGATTTGACCTGGACACTAGAAAATTCTCCGAGACCTCTTGCGAGGTCACGAAGAATACGCCGCGTCTGAGCAACTCGAGCTCGTGCTGTCGGCGTTTCTGGATATTTTCGAAAGAACACTCGCGGAAAGTGCCGCTGCCAACGAAGTGGTCGGTTTCAAATCGGTGGCTTGCTATCGGACCGGCCTTGACGTGGAACCGCCCTCTGAGTCGGCTGAGGCTGTTCTAGCATCCCTCAAGGATGTGGCGCAGGACTTCAAGCTGACCGGAAAGATCCGGCTGGCCCATAAAGCTCTCAACGACTTGGTTGTTTGCAAGACCCTGGAGATTGCTGCAGCTCAGGACAAGCCGAGTGGGTACCGGTTAGTCTTCGATTGGTCCACAGATGATGTACTTGTGACTAGTCCAATTCCACACGGGACTGGGTGACAACGACATCACGCTGACGAAAGCTTCGCCATCTCACCTCCAAAAGGTCATCAAGAGATACCCGGAGACGAAGTTCGTGCTGCTGCACTCGTCTTACCCGTACACGAGAGATGCCGGGTATCTTTCTGCCGTGTATCCCAACGTCTATCTGGACTTTGGCGAAGTATTGATCAAGCTACTTTTCGAGCGTAGATACTGAATTTCCTTGCAGGTCTTTCCGTTTGTGTCTGGGGCAGGACAGCGGTCTATCGTCCAGCAGATGTTGGAAATATGTCCCACGAGCAAGATTCTGTGGTCCACCGACGGCCATTGGTGGCCCGAGTCCTTTTACCTGGGCGTGGTCCAGTCAAGACAAGCACTATATGATGTGACCACCTGTTTCTTAGCTTTGGGGGCGCTAACACTCCCCTCAGGTTTTAGCGGACTATATCACGCGTAAGGAGCTGAGCGAACAGGACGCCGTCGAAATCGTGCAAAATGCACTGTTTCACAATTCAAACAAGCTTTATAAGCTTGGGCTCCAACCCAATCTGTCCATCGTCAAAAAGGCCACATGAATCTCATAATGAGTCCGCGTCCAGTCACAACATCACATGCCTGTGACATTCGCGACTGAAATCCAACTCGAGATCTAAAATGTATTATGTATTGTACACAACGACTGCTCAAAATATTAGAGCCACAGGAATCCTGTTGGAGCCTCTATGTCGATATTCTCTGCGATGAGACGCAGTGCCTTCCCGCCATCAACCCTCTCAAACACTTTGACACCTCCGCCCAAAGCACCACCTGCGACCAGCCATTTATTGTCCGGGCCACTAAATGCCATCCCACGCAGATGACGGAGACCTGTTCTGACCTCGGCTATGAGCTCCAACTTGTCTCCCGAGACATCAAAGATTGCAATCGAATCACCCTCGGGCGACGGGTCGTTTCTATTCGAAACATATGCATACGCCGCGGGGAAGGCAGCAGTAGGTGAGGGGATCAGCAGCTCTGCAGCGAGCATATCATGGGGAGCAGAAGGTGGGCTGAACATCGTAGGCGCCACAGCGACCAGCTCGGCTTTCTCGGGTTGAGCTGGAAACCGGTGCTTGGCCAAGGTGCTGTGCAGCTCGAGCACGGTATATATGAAACCGCCTCCCCAAAAAAAGGCGTCAGTTCCCAACGCGAGCGGGTTCTCGATTACGCGTACCGTGAACGGCCAGATGGCGCGGTCCGCTTCCCGGCTCGTAGCGGATATGGCCGTCGACGCCCCATGTGCCGTCGTCCTGCCGCCCAAGCCGACAGACACAATCCGAGCCGAGATCAGCGACGAGCAACTGGTTCTCGGCATCGTTCAGAATCACCTGGTGGGCATGCGGGCCCTCTTGACGTTCCGAATTGGGGCCAGAACCTTGCAATTGGGTGATAACGGGGTCGGACAGGATGTACGGCGAGTTGGATGTGATGGGGAGTACCGCCACGGTGCCCGAGGAGTACTGCAGGAAATCATCAGTCTAGAGCAGTATATGCATAACATAGGACACGGACGTTGGCAACAAACAGCTCCTTCTTGCTAATCGCGAGCGAACAGGGATCCGCACCACCACTCGATGCCTCTGCAACGACACTCCCCTTCCCTTCCGAGTCGTACTTGATGACCAGAATCTTCCCGTCGGTCTGCTCTAATCCAGTGAAAACGAGCGAGTGGTCTCCGGGGTAGAATTCAATCCACGAGGGGTGGAACCCAACTTCATGACTCGACCGCACGACCAGAGTCGCAGCTTCGGGGTCAAAGGCCAGCCAGGTCAAGCTTGAAGTGTAGGATGCAACGAGAATCCGGTAAATCATAATGGTCGGTACTGTATCGGCAGGAATTCACGCGCAATCTGTTGAAACTTGAGCCCCCTCTTATCGTATCGATTCGATCTTCGCCAGCAAAGAATCAGCCGAGAATTCCCCGCGCCCAGAGGTAGCCCGGATGAAATCACGGAGGCTCCGGTACGGAGTGTAAGAGAAGGGAAAGGAAGTGGTGCAGCATCATCGCCTGGAACTATCTAACTGGCGGGCTCTTGCGGGGCTAAGTTAATCTGTAGTTTCACGGTCACGTGCTCGCTACCCGTGCAGTGCCGACCCCGCGAGTTTTTGCCGACGTTCATGAAGACGTGTCAAAAGCGATACAGAAGGTTTGAGTTACTCGAGTCAGGCGGATTACCACCACACGCGGCCCTCCATCAACCGACGGCCCGTCCGTATGACCTTGGCGCTTTTCACATCTCCGCTCTCTTCGAACTCTGCGCCGATTTCGACTAGACCACTGGGATGTTTAATTCGAATCATTGCTTCCTTTTGTGCTTGGTTACCCCGCGCTTTCTGGACAATTTGCCATGGAAGGGTGCCTGCGACATTAGCTGCAACGCCGATGCAGAGCCCCACTGTGCCGGGAACAGCTCGGTGCAGGACCCCCATGGAGAGCGCATGTACGACAATGTCTACCCCCGCTTGCAGATCCTCCTCGTTTGGCGCACTGAGAATGGCAATCTTCGGCTGAGCTTGAGCAGAGGGATCAAGCCCCATCCGCTCGGCTCCAGCTTGTCTGATCCGCTCGAGTACCTCGTCGACGACAGGGACAGGAGAACCCCGCAGGTAATCGCCAATTGGGATGAATTGGGCCAGCTCAGCAGAGCCAACAAGCACAGTCGGATTTGTCGCGTCGACCAATGAAGCGGTCAGTATCCGGTTCTCTCCGGAAGGCCCAGAAACGACCAGGTCCTCAGTCGGCGCGCCAGAGGGAAGGAGCTTCCCTGTCCGAGCACCGCCCGGCTTGACGAATTCCATGACAATGGTGCTCGCCTTGCCGGGAACACCGGCCATCTCCACCTCGGGATGATCGAGAGCCGCGACTCCGTGGTCGTTCACAGGGAACGTCGTGTCGATAGCCTTCTGCGTGTTCACGTTCCAGGCGCGGACATTCATGTGCGTGGCGCCGGGTAGCGGAGACGCGCAGAGCCCGTGGTCGCGTGCGAACACGCCGACCATCGCGCTCAGGTTGCCGCAATTCCCGCTGTAGTCCACGCTCGAGTCCTTGACACCCACCTGGGCGAACGTGTAGGCGACGGAGATGCCGCTTCTCTGCTGCTCCTCCGATGCAGGCTCCACGACGACGACTTTGGACAGGCTGCTGACTCCGCCGCCCATCCCGTTGAGTTGGCGACCGTGGAGGGGATCCGGCGCGCCCATGAGCCCGAGAAAGACAGGAGCCCACGCGGCGCGATCCGGGGGAAGATCTTGGCGGAGGAGGAATATGCCCTTGGACGTGCCTCCTCTGAGAAAGCTTGCAGGGATGGGATTCTTACATAGGTAGCGCGGGAGGAGAGAGGACATTGCGACAGGTCTAATTACGTAAGGTGGTTGGTTAAGGCTAAGGCTACATACACATCTTATCTGATTATTTAAACTGCTTTGGGTCTGTTAAAAATACCATTGAAGTAGTGTCGCAGTCCCTCGCGACTGCGCAGCACGGCACCGACCAGTCCATCGGGCCGGACAATGATGACGTCACAATGGTCTGTGGTGGAATAGGCGCTGTGGGCAAGGCCAGACCGATCCTCCAGGACCCAGTCGGCCAACGCGTGAGCTCCAGGGGCGGCGACGCTCCCGGGCCGAAGCACAATGACTGTTTGTAGGATATCGCGTGGATAGGTTCGAGCTAGGCGGATGACGGGGGTGTACCGGTGGACGTCATCAGTGAAGATCAGAATAGTGTGTCGGCACCCAAGGAGAATGTGGAACATGTTTGTTGAGCACGCATCGGAAAACGTGTCCACGGTCTGGCCAACAGGAACTAGACGCTTCAGAACAGCAAGTCCCGGAGCATCAGGGGCTCGGTCTCCCGCCCGCAGCGGGCGATCCATAATCTCCGCTTCAGATTCAGGACCCATTCCTTCGTCGCCGTCGTCTTCGTCATCGTCGTCGAATGGGTCCAAGTCGTCGAATTCGTCAGCAAAATGGTCTTCATCGACTTGTTCGTCGACGATGGCTGAGCTCCATCGGCAATTCACGCCAAGCTGCAGGATTCCGCCGTTGTATTTCCAGGCAGAGGTCTTTGGGGCCGAGCCAGCAGACCCCTTGTCCCGCCCAGTCCAGGTCTCATTCAGCAGGGCGGTGATTTGATTGAGCATGGCGGCAACCACCGGCGCGCGCTCCTCTGTGTACGTATCGAGTAGCGAACGAGGCGAGATTCCGCGTTGGACCATGGCCATTTTCCAGGCCAGGTTCCACGAGTCTTGGATTCCGGTGTTCATTCCTTGACCGCCAGTAATGCTATGAACGTGAGCCGAATCTTGACAGTTGTGGTCAGCCAAGCCAAGCCTGAGAAGCAGCCCACGTACCTCCTGCCAGGAATACCCGACCGACGGAAAAGTGGTTGACCATTCTGCAGAGAAGGTTTTTACTCGCGTCCGGTTCAGAAAAGATTGACTTGCCGAATGTTTGGCCTTGAGGGAGTGAGCAATCTGAGACACCAGCCAGCAGATGCACACACCTGTATTGCGATAACCATACGACGTCTCCGAATACCAGATCCTTGCGTCTGCCGGTGTATTCTTCGAAGATGGGTTTCAATTCCTCCGGATGTTCGATGAGGTACGGGTGGTCGATCCCTTCTCCGGTCAACAGAAAGTTGTACATGAACGGAACTTCAGTCGGTCTCAGGCTGATCCTGCAGAAGAAACGTCGGCAATTCATTAGCGGACCGATTCACGAGATGCCCACTGATCCGTACCACTTTTCTCCAACTTCGCCCCACATATGCCAATGCTGAGAAGTCTGAGCCGAGGAGGTTATGCGATAGAAGACACGGTAGCCATACCTTCGAGTCCAGGCCGTGCACCATGACATCCCCGACCATGATATTCTCGGCGTTACGCGTTTCGCCCAGGAATGAGAGCCCCAAGGCCTTGCGGACCATCCCCCGAGCCCCATCCGCCCCAACGATGTAATCGAACGTAGGTGTCTCCACAGTCTCTTCCTCCGAGTTATCCGATGGACGCGAGATGCGAGTGCGAACGCAGCCTTCTCCGGCACGCTGTTCGAAGGAGAGAAGACAGGCTCCCCATTCAGGTTCACATCCCAACCGTCGCAACTCCGATCGCAGAATTTGTTCGAGATGATCTTGCCCGAGCATGACCACATCCGGCTGGATAGAGATGTCAATCGAGTGCAGGTACTTCGCAGACCCGATGATGCCCGACTCACGTAGGGACGCTGGGTATGCGAGGAGGTCGGAGGCCACATATCGAACTTGCTGAGGACCTGCACTCCGTCGGGCATTTTGTACATGACGGCCTGCGGCGCCGCGATAGCACGCGTGAGGATCTCGCCAGCGACACCGAGGGCTTGGAAGAGTTCCATCGAACGAGGCTGGAACCGGCGTGTCAAGTCCTGCGGTCTCGACTAGAAATGCAAATGAGCGCACCATGATGCCCGCCCCTCGCTGCCCCATCCGCGGACTGGTCTCTTTATCGATGAGCCGAACAGGAACGCCATGCTTGAGGAGCGCGAGAGCCATGACTAAGCCCGACGGACCAGCGCCGACCTGTGTTTCCAAATCGTTGAGTCGTTTGCATTGGACAGTCAGCCTTCGGGATCGCGTACAACTAGGATTCGAGGGTGGCGGGGAGACAGCGGAGCCATAGGTGCGACGCAGGAAGGATCTCTACACACTCCGGAATCATTCTTATAGATCGGTTCGCGAGGGACAGGTTTTCTGGTCCAGACTCCAGACAGAGGTCGAGGCCGTTATGAAACCGAAAATGATCGCTTGCTGTAGCGTTGTCAGGTGATATCCAATGTCGATGCTACAGTTACTGTCAGTGACAGCTGGGCACCAATGATCCTTTTTTGTCCTCGTCGGAGACTGTCGATTCGTCGAAGAACACCTCCGCTTCTGATGGTGTCTAGTGTCGAGCGATCGTCATAGTCCTTCTCACACACTGGCGTGCTGAGCGTGCAGTTCGTAGTAAGCATCCGGTCACCGGAGAACCCCATAGGTCGGAGTCCCTCAAAATGATCCTTGAGTACACTCTAATGCCGCCGAGTTTAATATCGCTTGCGGTCCCATATGCAGATGGATGAACATCCTTATATGGACGCGCAGGAGCCGATCTGCTGGCTCGCGCGATCGCGTGTATCGCCTCAGATACTTGACAGGAAGCGGGTACAGTCGGGCAGACCCTGGGCAATCCTGCAGGTTCAGCCTGTGTCCCACACTCTGACAATGATTACAAGGGACGTCTCTGATCCATTTGCATTCGACGTGAGATGCTGATAATGTTACAAGGTTGTGTTAAAACACCAAAAAGAAAGCAATGGGAGGAGGATATACGATTTAGCAGTTCATCAGAAGTGTAGAGATTGGCGTAGAGTAGTCCGTGATTAGCATGGGCAAGCGCCGATTGGCTTTATGTGTAATTGTGAGCCACACAAGGAAGAGTGTCTAGATGCGGGTAGGCGGCGAGGGCTCATCGCCTCTGCTGCCGCTGCCACATCGCCAGCGGCATGTCCTCCTCTTCGCCAATCGGCGCTCCGTTGGCTGGCTGCGGTCGTCGAGCATTGGCAGGCACTCCAGCGTGTGCGCTTTGACCCTTCCGGATTTTGCCGTTCATCGGAGGAGGCTGTGCGGCTGAGGGCATGGCCGCGGTCGCACTTAAAGATCGGCCTGCCAGCCGAGCACCACCACCTTGCCCACCGGCTGCGTTGTACATATTTGGCGGCGGCGGCGAGCGCGAGCGTCGCTGGGCTGCCGGCGGAGGAGACGCAGACTGCGTGCGCGGCGATGCTTGCCATGAAGAGTGATCTGCAGGTGCCATTGCACCCGGAGGAAGCCGCTGCTGCTGCTGCATGGATTCTCCGGGAGAATAGTATCCATGCTGCTGAGCCCCAGCAGAGCTCGTCCGCGCAGGCCCGTTTCCGTTGTAGCCCGCATACTCCTTCTCCATCACTCGGTGCTGCATCTCGTATTGAGGGCCCCTCACAGGCATCTCGGCTCGCCGCTGCTGAGGTGCCCCGGGCGGAACAGCCTTCGTCAACGATCCCCGCCGTGGCGAGGCCTCCCGCTTCTTCATTTCCTCCCGCTCTCTCTGCTCTCGCTCTGCTCTCTCTCGCTGCTCCTTCTCCTGCCGCTCCCGCTCTAGTCTCTCCCGCTCAGCTGCCTCCCGCTCAGCCTCGGATTCGTCCTCCTCGGCCTGGGCGGCCTGTTGTTGTTCCTGGGCCTGAGCCTGAGCCTTGTTGATCACACCCAGATACCAGAACATCAAGTTACTGATCAGAACCTGCTCGTACAACGGTCGCCTCGGGTTCGCCAGTTTGATGTGACTCAGTCGGTAGATCGCCCGTTCGACATGGATCGGATACCGGGAGTAGTTGTTGATCCCACCCAGCATCGCATCCGGCACCCCCGCAAGTGGCGACGGGGCACCCGGCGACCGCGGAGCGCGTTGAGATTGTCCTAAGAGCGCGTGAGCGGCTTCCCGCCCGCCGTGAAGCCCGGCAGGCTCCGGCACCGACGAATCGTGCTTCTTCTTTCCGAACAAAGACCCAAAGAAGCCGCTGTCTTTGTCCTTCTCGCGCTCTTTCTCGACCCGTTTAGACCCTTTGGCCGGCTTTTCCTTCTCCTTGTCACTCCCCCACTTGAACAGGCCCTTCTTGTCCTTGTCCTTCCGTGGTGATGGCGACGTGGACAGAAAGGATGGTGGCGGTGGAGGTGAACCCGTGGGAGTCCCGGCAGGACTGTATGTTTCGGGTGAAACTGTCGGGGTAGAGACTTCGTACTCGGAGGACGGTGATGGTGTTCGCGAGCCGGGTTGCTGGGCCTGATATGTATCCGATCCGGAAGGTGCTGATAGACGCGTGGGCTGAGGTTGGTAGAGGATAGACGGTGGCTCCGGTTCAGACTGGAAAGCACTAGCAGGGGCCGGCTCCTCGTAATCGGCGCCACCGGCAGACGGCGACGCAGTGATGACCACTGGAGGTAAGGGAGGTACATCCTCCTCCTCCTCCTCTTCATCATGATCACGCGCATAGGCTTCATAGATGAGCGCCTCTTCACTGAACGAGTCAGGACGCTGTGCACCTGTCAGCATGCCCTCGTTCGACGCGGCACGCGGCCTGGGCGTGGGCATAGAGTTGGAGAACGACTCTGAGGAATCGCCGTGATCGCTGGACGAAACATCACTCGATGTGCGCTGAAGAGTCGGAGATGCCTTGGATCGCGAAGAAGGTCCGCGGCGTCGTTCGTTAAATCGGTGTCCACCGCCGTCACCAGGCAGTCCGGGCTTGCGGATACGAGTCCGTGCAGTACGCCGCAGAAATTGCCCCGGCGGAGCTACCACAATGGGCTGGTCCGCTTCGTCGCCGAGATCGTCGGCATCGAGTGCTTGTAGATGTCCAGGTTAGGGATAGAATTACCCCACGATCATGTCACGCACCACTTGGAGACACGTTGAGACTGAGGCTACGGCGCAGAATACTCCTCAGTTGCGCAGGATCATCGCTTTCCGAAGCCTCCTCCGCCAGCTCATCCAGCTTCTGCAAGTCCGCGATGGTGAGTTGTGGCCCAAGGTTTTGGTTGGAAGAGTAGATTCCCGAGTTGTTTCTGCGCAGCGGAACCACCGCTTCGTCGCTAGAGTCATTCTCGGAAGGCTGATACTGGCGACTGAGCATGGATTTTTTGCGGCCAAGACCGGAGGAGGCGTTCGAAGGCCTCCGGTAGAGGGACTGGCTTTCGTCGTCAGAGGGGGGATTACGGGCATGTTCTTTGAGGAATGCGCGGAATTCTTGCGGTGCAATCTCGGGGTGCAAACTTGCGGGCACCCAAAAAAGGTGGAATGGGTCGTCGGAAGGTTTGGACACGGCGTCCGGTGATGGATTGGCGCTGGTGGAAGCGTCTTGGGGGTTGTACGGGTTGGTGGGAGATGTCGGGGCTTGATTGGGAAGGTCGGGGTCGATGGTGAGTGCACCCGGTGTCGTAGACCGCCGTCGGATGTCCCGCAGAGCCTGCGAAAGAGTGGATTCCATGAATACTGTATTGTGCGGCGAGAGATAGATCAAATCACCTCGACCTCACGGAGAATGTCGTATTCGCTGGGCTGCATGGCAGTAGGTCAAATGCGACTTGCGGCCGTGGGACGAATGTGATGGATGCCCGGGGGGCTAGAACGTGGTCGTCGATGAGCAAACGCTAAGGTAGGAGCGGGTTGGAGCCAAACAAGGTGTAATAGACACCGATATTACAGTTACACGCTATTGTACATGATTCTCTCTTATGACGCCCTTGTCTCCTGACTACGTTGGTTGGCATTCTCCCGCCTCAATTCTTGGATAACGGCCTAGCACAGAGAGGAAGGAAGTTGAGGAGCTGCCGCACAAACAGTACTCATCATACCGCCAAAGCTTCTGGGTTAACACCACTCTCGATCATCCGTACACACGTTGTCAGCTGCGCCGCAGATATCAAATTCGTGATTGGATAGTATTTCAAGCCCGAAACGGACCGTTTCTTTGTCGAGTTGGGTGTTGAGAAGTTGTGACATCTCATGCAGAACTGAGGGGAAGAATCTCAAGTCAAACGGGGACGGTTTTGCGCTCAGGACAGAGATTACTGTCGAGGGTCTGCTGGGCGGCAGAGATATTAATGCGATCTACGTCGCGTGAGGACATGAGAATGAGAGTAGTGTGCAAGCCGTAGGCTGCCACGCGCCGGAAATCACCGGACGCTGATGTCGAAATTTATCACTTGCTTGCCCCCTCAATGCCGCCGCCTCAGCCCACCAAAGCGAAAGCACCGGCCAAAAAAGAAAAGGTCTTTCACCCAGAATCCCGCAAAGCCGGACAGCTCGCGCGCACTGCTATCAGGAAGGGAAAACTCGCATCGCTTCGCACTAAACGCTCGAAAAAAGATGCGACGCATCTCACATTCTACGCCTTTCTCAAAGGCGCCTTGCCCCATCAACGCATCGAGTCTGATTCCAATCCGGAGTCTGATGGTCTCACCCTCGCACAACTGCACGAGCTAGCGCGAACTTGGGTCTCGCGCCATGATGCGACGCTTGCACACGAGCAAAACACTCGCCGCGCTGGACGGCCGAAATCTCCCCTTCAGGTGCGACTAGAGGAACAAAGGCTACGGGAAGAAGAGATATACAGAACAGGAATGGGTGCGTTGACCTATCGTGTGATCGTGCTCTTGTCAATTATCTTGTAGACCTCCCCGATCTCACTCATCCTCCCACTTTGTCACATTTCCGAGCTTGGGATCTCAAGTCCCTGGCAGGAACCCATCTATTCCGCTTTGCCCGCATATCCAGTTCGCAACCTGAAGTGCTCATACTTGCGAAGACACCAACAGCTACCGCAGCTCAGGGCGACGAAGACGAAGCTCCTGATTTGCTCGATCCTGATCATGTGATGGATGAGACGTGAATGCGGTGCTTATGTTCTGGACGCTGACTACCCGGTGCTTTTGCTGTACGATCCTGTGCGAGCGCAGAGACGAGCTACAATCTAGTGGAAACTGCAATGCGTCAGTTCCTTTCGATGATCCGAAATGAAGCGAGCTAGTCACTTCCGATGGAGGATCGCTTCCATGCGTTGCTCGCGCGTAAGTATGCAAGCGAAAGCAGGGGCCGAACGCTGTTCGAGATCGCGCTTAGATCCAGAGGCTATCCGGCACATCGCCCATCGCACCGGGCACGCTGTGCAAAAACTCTTCCTGCAGTCAGTCCGCCACATTTGGCTGGACCGCACTGCGACCAAATGAGAGCGGGCATGTCCCTCGCGTTGAGCTCACGGTTCCTCTCGAACCGCACACAAGTACTTCGGTCGTCTCGCTCTGTCAAGTGCCAAACGCCTTCAGGATTTGATGTGCGCTGTCAATGTCATCGCGAGGGGACTTCGAAAGCGGCTTTCATCGGTTCCATGATCAAGAAAATGCTCCCGTCTTCAGCGTTCTACTATGCAGGGAGCATCGTTGAGCCACTGTTCCTCGTTTCCCTTCTGATTGCTCCATGGCGGTTGAACAGTCTCTCTTCCATTCCAGGCAGTGCAGATCGCGTCCGACCTCCAGCAGCTACCGGCCGCTCTAAAGTCTATCTGAGAGCACCCATGAACGGATCTAAGTACAATGTCCAAGCACTGAGGAGGAGACTCTGCAAGAAATCTGACCATACGTGATGCAACAGGTGCAGCGGAGGTGCTTCGATGAGACCTCTGAGTGCTCAGCGGTACTATACCATTCTCCTGCAACATTGATCATCTTAGGCTTTTTGTCGCAACTGCATATGTTGAGATCATGTGCACGTCAGCACGAACGCGGCCACGGATGTCGGTGCGCTACTAGAAGCGGGATTGAATGTTCTTGGAAATCCTCCCAACTTCTTGTCGACGGATCTCTCCCCCTTTTGGCTCAGGTCGTGCTCGCAGCGTCCACCATGATCCTCGTGGGTTTCTCCCTTCGTCATCATCAGATCACTCAAATGCTCAGTCCATTGAATGCGGGCCGTCAATAGTAGAGTGATTCCCCATCGAGCCCGTTTTGTACTCTGCACCCAAGTGCCTCGTGATGACTTGCTCCGCAGAGCGTCGGGATGCGGCCCAGAGCCTGGCTTTACATTATATCGGTGCCGGAACCCGCAGTGGTGCGATACCCAACACACCGGCACTGCCAATTCAATGAATTGGCTCTCGAACCATTTTTGGGTGGGATCTGCAACATTAGGCTCCGTAGTGCCTGTGCGTGAGTTTGCGGTGCTATTTTCAGCCATTCGGCCTCATAAAAGGCTCCTTAACTGCAGTACTGCTCTGACCTTGTGATTGTCGACTGCACGGTAACCCTGAAAAGCATATTCAAAGCACACCCCAGCAAAAGTCACAGGCGGTCATGGCTGGTCTCCGCCGACTGGGTGTGATATGACATGCAATAGACATCACCGCCTGCTCAGTGATGAATGCGACTACGATGTAGTAGAAACTCACACAATGCCTGGCGCGCGACTTGAAGGCAGTGGTCGACATCACCGACAGACTTCCCGACCTTTGAAATTCGCCGGCCCGTTTTGTGAATCGGATTAAGTTTGGGTTCTGGCTACGGCGGCACTCGGTGCGGTCAGGTGTTGATACTTCATGCCCGTCCATTGGCATAATCAGTGCAATACGTCATTCTGCTCCCGCATGTTGTGCCTGGCACAGGCCCAACGCGTTTTCGCCAGACCGAGGCGAGCATAAACACTGAAATGACTTGAAAACCATTCCTTGGCCCATGTACAGATCTAGCTCCCTTCTGTTTGTATCCTATCACGAAACAAACACCGCGTTTCAAGCATCATGTGATCGCGTTTTGGCTATTCACAGGCGCAATGAATCATGATGCGGATCGCGTGCAAACGCTCGACGCGTAACCTATGCGCTACAGGTGGCGGACGCGAGGCAACTAGACCCTTCTATCGAACCCCTCCTCCATCGACGCTCAGCTATGGATACCTCTGTGCTCAGCGACGATTCCGACTACGACATTGTCTCCCCGGACGCCAGCATCGCAGACCTCGGCGCACTCCCACCGCCCGTCATAGTGGAACCCCAGCCGTCGCAGGACGCTCAAGACACATTCAACTCCACCTGCAATTTGACGGCGGAGGAGATACAGTCGTATGTACGAGCTGTGTTGGGCCTCTCCCTCCCCGTGTCCCCCACCCGCCCCAAGCGAATCTACGTCGACGGGATATTTGACGGACTGAACGTCAGGTGCGTCGAAAAACTCGTTCATTCAACGCCACCCCTCGCTCGCACGTATGCTCACATCCCGCTCTCAGGCATGCCCTCCAGCTGCGCCAAGTGAAGCTGTCCTTCCCCAACGTCTGGGTGATCGTGGGCGTATTCTCCGACGCGACGTGCCACCGCTTCGGCACGCCCGCCGTCCTGCCTGCGGTCGAGCGCGGCGAGCTGCTGCGGCACTGCCGGTGGGTCGACGAGGTCCTCGAGGACGCCCCGTGTACCCTCGACGCGGCGTTCCTCGCCGCACACAACATCTCGTACGTCGCCATCGAGGAGGGCGCGACCGTGGACCCCGACACACACAAGCTCAGGCTCAAGGGATACGACGAGCTGAAGCGGAGCGGTGCGTCTCGCTCTGCCTGCTCTCCGTCTTTTTACTAGTACTCACACACACATGTCGCGTGATAGGTGTGGTGATTCCGACGCGGAGGACGGTCGGTGTTGCGGCTGCTTCCAGCCCTCTCCCCAGACCGAGAACTCCGCTCGTCGAGTCCGATTCGGATTCGCCCATCCCCGATCCTGGGGTACAGGCTGAGATATACGGTATTGGATTCTAGTTTCATTTCATGTTATCAATGTATTCTGTGCTTGTACCTAGCTCTCCTTGTCTTGTGTATGAAATTCATGTTTTCCCTCGCTGCAGTCAGGAGCGGCAACGCTGAAGAGTTTCATTGCCAAAGTCAACGTTGAAGCCACTCAGCCCGTCGAGCGGACTGCCATCAGTCTGCATCACCGGGGCATATTACGATTACCTGGTTACGATGGTTGTTTCTAGCCACCACCCTGCACGGATATCTCAGCTGGCGCGACTTCCTTTCCGAGCAAAAACGAAACACAATAGCCTGATGCACTCGAGCCATCTGCTACAGCGCCATTGTCACAAACGGCATGCTCCATGCAAGGTCCAGCTCTGATGCTCGATGCTTTGACCTTGGAAGCTCTTATGTCCGGAGGGACAACAATGGCCTGATGGCTCTTATCGACGCTTATGCCCAGGACCGTGCGCGCTTTGTCGCGCTCCCGGCTGGGGTATAAAACAAAACGCTATTCGCGCGTTCAAGGTCTATTGTCCTTCGCCCACATCACACTGCACTGCTCGCATGTCTTTGACACCCACCAAATGGACGTCCTCTCCCGGGGACCAGCACCTCTTCGGGTACTTTGAGCCCGTGGGGAAGCACCCGCAGCTACTGCGGCTCGAATTCTGGCGCATCGACGGGCGCGCGTCGTTCGGGCGCGCGGTGCAGAGCTCGCACATTCTGCCCGGTTCTTTCATCAGTGAGCTTTCCCTCCCCCCTGTCCCTTGGCCGTCCCCGGGCTGACGATCGTTGACCGAAGGTGGCACACACGCGGAGCTCGTATGGAATGAGAAGACGGGGCACGAGTCTGTCGTGTTGTTTGAGGACAAGTCGTCGAACGGGACCTGGGTGAGTGTGACTCCCCACCGTTGGCCTTGCCTGTGGCCCCGGCGCTGACGCGCGCGCAGGTCAACGAAACCCACATCCGCCGGGCGAAGGTTGCTCTGCAGCACGGCGATCGCATCGCGTTCGGCATCCCCGAGGCGGAGAGCGACCTGCTCGACTTCCGTGCGTCGCGTGACTTCTCACCCGCGCGCTGGGATGCGACTGACCCACTCTACAGGCTACGTCTTCCACCACGTCGCGCGGCACCCGCTCGGGGACATCGCCGCCGAGTACACCCTGGGCGACATACTCGGGGAAGGGGGATTCGGCAGCGTGCGCATCGGGACGAAGAAGTCGGACGGGCGAACAAAGGTGGCGATCAAGACGATCAAATACGTACGTGCGCTCTTCGGTGTTCTTTGTGTGTGCGTCCAGTCGGGGTGAGGCTGACTGAGGGATGCAGCTCGAGAGCTTCAAGGACGCGCAGCGGAAGACCCGCGAGATCAATCCCCTCGTGGAGCTTCTCACGCTGGAGGAGATCTCCCATCCGAATGTAATCGAATACCTCGGGTCCTTCCACGACCTGAACTATGCTTCCATCCGTGCGTCTCGTCACTTTATTTCCGTAGACATCTCTGACTGGGGCGCAGACCTCGTCCTGGAATTTGTCCCTGGGGGCGACCTGATGGGATGGGTCAGCCGGCAACGGGCCACGAAGAAGCAAGGATTCGGTGCGCTCCACTTACTCCGCTCGTTTTACCCATTCCAACCCGTGTTCGGCCAGCGGAACCCTTCGTCCGTGAGATCATGCAGCAGCTGCTGAGTGCCCTGGTGCACGTGCACGGTCGGGGGATCACCCACCGCGACCTCAAGCCCGAGAACATCCTCATGAAGCACAGTTACCCCGGCCGTCCCTGCCTCAAGGTCACCGACTTTGGCCTCGCGCGCACCGCCCTCAATGACCGGCCTGACGGGGTGCGTTCTCTCTGCCCATCTGCGCGTGTGTCGTGCCGCTCATCTGTTGTTATGTTCTGTTCTGTGCAGCACATCGGCACGGCGCAGTTCATGGCCCCCGAGGTGTTTGAAACGACCGGAGCCGGCTACGACTCCATCTCGGACTGCTTTGGGGCTGGACTGCTGATGTTCATGGTGTATGTGTCCACTCAGTCGAGCCATCTAATTCAGCCTCTGATCTCATGCGCAGGGCCATCGCCGAACGGCCGTGGGCCCAACCCCGGACCCCCGGCAGCAGCGCGTTTCCGCCCCTCAAGTGGTCAGAGGCCCTGGCGACGCTCTCTGACCCCGGGATGGATCTGCTGCAGAAGCTGCTGCAGCGGGATCCGCATAAGCGGATTCCCGCCGCAACCGCGCTGGGCCACGAGTGGTTTGCACTGCCGATGGCGCGACTCGCGCCCTGCCCGTGCCCCTCGCTCAGTCCGGTGTGATTCAAGATTGTTGATGATAATATTCTATGCCATGTAATATACAATATATGAATGCAGTGCGACAACATGTTTCATTTTACACGTAGGAGGGAGGGGCTGAGAACACAAAAAACAATCAGAAAACAGCCACAAGGCAAAACAAGAACTACGCACCCGCAGGCCGAGCGGCGCTTTGCAGGACACCAATCAGGGACGTGCGTTCCTCCTCGGACAAGTTGTCGGCGAACCGCAGCAGGCCGTCCATCGCCGCCTTACGGTCGTCCTTCGTCAGGTCAAGCAAGTTGCGCATCAGATGCTCGCTCCGCAGCTGCGCCACAGTCTGCGCGAGGTCTAGCTTTTCGAGTTGTTCGCAGACGGCGCGGGGCGCGGCGTTGGCCTCGATCGACGCCAGCGAACGCAGCAGCCGCAGACGGTAGTCAAACGACGTCCCCGGGCTCGCGGCGGCGATCTGCGCCAGCGCTGCCGACTGCGCGATCTTGGCGCGGAACGCCCAGTAGAAGTGCCGGCGCGCCTCTTTCCAGCTGGCTGGCTTGGCGCAGCCTTTGGCTTCCATGCGGCCCGTTCGGCTGGAGTGACGGTTGAGTCAGTTTGGGATCAGGAAGAAAGAACGGAAACGCACTCATGTAGATCGGCGTAGAGCAGTGCAATCTGCTGGTATGTCGGCTGCAGCAGAGTCTCTCGTGCCGCGAGATCAATCGAGGCTGAGGCCCGCTCGTCAGGAGTCTTCGATGCATCGCTGCTGTCCCGTTTGAGCTGCGCGTACGTCGAGTCGAGACGCTCCATGAGCTTGACGAGCTTGTCCTTGCGCATCTTGATCTCGACGATGCCCTCCGGCTCGAGCACACCCGCACGCGCATCGACGTCGGCATACATCTCCATCTGCTCCGGATTGATCGACGGGTCGAGCACGACCCAGGCACCGCCACGCAGCTCGCCGTTGGGCACAATATACACAAACACAGGCTGCTTGTAGCTCGACAGCCCGTCGACGATCTTGGAGCCCTGCTTGAGGATCTCGTCGTACATGTCCTGCTGCCCGCCGGAGAACCCACGCCAGTTCGCAAAGATGATCAGCGGCAGCCCCTCGCGGTTGAAGTCGAAGATGGCCTGCGCGGTCTTGTACGCCGAGTTCGGGTACCACACCTGCCCGGCCTCCATAATGTGCTGCTCGAAGGACGCGGCGTTCGCCGGATCGGCCGGGACCACGCGCTCGATCGTCCGGGTCTCGACAGCGATCACACCCATCGGGATGCCCCCGAGACGGGCGCGGCCGACGACGACAGTCTGTGCCCAGCCACTGAGCGTCTCCTGGAACGAGCCCTTGTCGAAGAACCCGGACTGCCACTGCTCCTCCTCCATCTTGCCCTCGATGAACCAGCGGGGGTCGTACGCGCCCTTGGGCGGCATGTACCCGATCTCGCGGTCCCAGCTGTCGCCTGACTCTCGGACCGGCAGCGGGCCGTTCTTGACCTCGGGCACATACGACAGCCAGTCGAGGATGTGTGTCGCACCCTGCAGGTCGCTGGCCGCCGTCAGATGCGACACGCCGTTCTTGAACATGATCTGCGTCCCACCGAGCTGCAGGTTCGACGTGTACACCTCCCGCCCGAGCACCTTGTTGAGCGCAGGCGCACCCGTCAGGATGATAGGCTGGCCCTCGACCTGCACCGCTCGTTCGCCCAAGCGCACAAGGTACGCACCAATTCCCACGGAGCGCGCGGTCACGAGGGTGATCGTGAAGATGTCGTCATAGGCCCGCGACGTCTCGCCGGCGATGAGCCCTGAGCCCCGGAGGGACTCGACACCGAGCCCGTCCTGCAGCCCGATGACGTCGGTGATCTGGTGGCGTTTCTCGCCGTCGACGTCGATCTCGACCGTGCGCACCGAGTCGCCGCCCTTCTCCTCGAGCTTAAGAAAGTTTTCGCGCGTGAGGTAGAGGTACTTGATGCCCTTCTCAGGGTGTCCGTCGTCGTTCCACGCTACCGAGAACAGCGGCAGCGCCTCCTCGGCCAGGCCAATGCGCGCTCCAGAGTTCGCCGAGAGATAGATCCGCGGAAGGCCGAGGTTTCGCGCGTACTGGGTGACCTGGTAGAAGAACTGGTCCTCGGTCGGCCCGAACGAGCCAATCTTGAACGTGATGTCGTTCGCGACGACGACGACCTTCCGGCCCTGGCGGAACTCGGGAGTGAACAACGTGAACACCCACGCGACCATGCCCGACGTGTTGTTGCCTGGGGCCCGGTCGACCTCGGTCAGCTGGTCGTTCTCGTCCAGAACGAGCTCCTTGGATGTCAGGCACTCTTTGGGCATGACCAGCGACGCATCGGAGGCACGTGCCTTGACCCATACGTTGGTGAGCGCCTTCGAGAACAGGCCCGGGAAGTCGTAAACGTATGTCGTGCCGATGAGGGCCTGGTACCGCTTCGGCTGTAGCGACTCCTTGGTCGGGTACGGCTGATGCGCTGGCTCAAGGTGCAGCGGGCCCTTGTCCCCGATGGACTTGAGGATCGTGCCCTTGTCCGTCGAGATTG